GTGCTATAGTCCAGCACCTCTACGGCTCCCTGTGGATCGTCCGCCTCCACACTGGTCAATGCCTGCGCGGCAGAATCAGCGAATACTTCAGGAATTTTCGAAGGTCTTTTAGGGAGCCAAGATTCATAGTCTGTGGCACCTCCAGCCTTTGAGGCATTTGATTAGGAATGATTTTGCCTTGATTCGTGAGAGGATGGCAAATGGTCACAAGCGCCTCTTCGCAAACCCTCTTTCTAGGCACCTTCTAGTGTACCTCGTAAAGCCTGCCGATGCACCTAAACCAAGTGATCAGCCTTGAAATACACAACCGACCGCCACTTATCATAATTCATTCTTGTCTCTCTGGAGCTTCACGCCTACCTTCGCGTGCGCTAGTCAGCTGTTCCCTACGGTCTTGGCTGCTAAGGTCGGATACTGCCTCCGCACGACATCCTAGGCCCCACACGGAGAGAAGCTTCTTATTGCATACTAGGGATGGGAAGAGCGAACGCGAATGTACTCGTCCCAGGCCACCAGAAAGGCCATTCAGTCCAATGAAGAATCCATAGCCTGATAGGAGAAGAAAGCACCTACCGCTACGTCACTAGCGTCGGTTGTGAGTAATGACGCTCGCAAACGGGCAATGCAAGAACCAGAGGAGTTGTAAGGCGGCCAATTGGCGTCCTTGCTCAGGGAGGAGCCTTATCTGTCCGGGTCACAGCCTCCATTATTCAGCTAGATCGGCCCTAAGGAGCAGCGATTCAGACAAACCAAAAATGAAAATCGTGGTAGCAAGGTGCAAGCCCATAGAGCTTCGCAATTCCTTGGGGTGCGTAAAGATAGAGGCTACGCCTTAATTGCATCAAATTCTGCCGGAGCTTGCTTAATTCCTGCAGTCGAGACATGGTAACCCAGAGACACGAGCGTTCCCATGACAGAAAGCCTCCGTGACTTCGCATGTCACTGCGTCTTCCACAGCAGTCGAATGGCACACCGTTGGTGCTGTAGGTGCTCGTGAACGTTTTGGCCGAATTGTAAGCCGTCCTCCACAAAGACAGCCATTCACCCCTCCTAGAAAGGCTCATTAATTTTCCGAGTAACCTGACGTTGCAGTTTGACTGGGGCATAATCAAGTACCAACAGCAACGATGTACACTCGAATTTGCGAAGGCGAGTGTGAAACGACGTGTGTGCCTTCATCAGGGTGTACAGGCATTTATATGAAGGCGTTTGTGAAGTAAAATGTCGAGAAGAGTGTTGACCTATGTAGTTGTGACAGCCTTTTGTGTCAAATAATGCGCCCACGTGACGCATCGGAAATATCTGCTTCACGCCGCTCTTGTTCAGGGGCTCCAAGTTGCCGTTTATGCGCGACCTTCCGTCATTTTTCGGCGCTATCGCCGTTATGCCCGAAAGCGCTGGTCGATTCTTGTACTTTGCCTTTTTCGAAAAATCACTTGCCTAAAGGCCGCTATCATCTTTAGGCTGTGGAAGCTTCCGATACCGCAGAACATGGCTCGGGGCTGACCCGGGGATGCGGTGCACTGGATGACGGGCAGGTGGCCAGACTGCTAGCGCCTCCTCACTACATAGCACATGCGCAAACTTCTCCTTGATTTTTGTAAATGCTGCTCTTTGTCGAGCGGCCGACTAAGGTTCCTTTTATTAAAGAAGCAATTGCAAAGCCAGGCAGGCAAAATGCATGCTGCGAACCCCTTGCACTGCTGCGCGGCTTAGCCCCCCGCAGAAAGTCTCTGCCTCACCTTGTTGAGATATCGACTCTACCTCGCTGACTACAAATGATGTGAGCGTTGTTGAGGAGACCAGAAAGTGCCTTTCCCTTGCGCCTCCTGAGATACTATCTTCCGCAACGCGCAGCTGTGGCTGCATGGTGCGTTCCATTGGGTCACCCATGCCATACTTGAACATGCTTCTTCGTGCACAAGTCCAACAAAGAAGGCACGGACCATAACGATAAGGTCCAGATCTGATTTGAAATGGCATTCACCCAGCCAATTCTTGCGTCCTTAGTCGTGTCTGCAAACATGTCTTAGGGACTGTGATAATGGGTCAGCAGGCAGACCCCACTTCCGCGCTGCCTGCTCAGATAGCAGCGCCACTTAATATCCAGTGTCAAGTAATGCTAGTAATTCTAATACACTTATGTGGACTCGTGCCAACGCAGAATTGACCCGTTTGGGGCCTCTAACTGCGGCTCCATCCCTTGTAGCCGCCTTCATCGGGCCGCAGCCTGCCTGGAAGATAGTCTGCTTCGCGGATGCCCTTGCTTGTTTGTCAAGCACTCAGCTGCCGCCGCGCTCAGTCACGTTGTTGATGCTTGTTCGGCTTTTGCATGCACTTGCATTTTCAGGTTATGCGAACTAGTTTTTCACAATAGAAGCAAGTGTGTTGTTGGGGGGCTGCATGTGGCTGCTGAGAAGCGTGGGGTTTCCCTGACCATTCACTGTCGGTCATCGTAGACATTGGGCCAAAGCCGGTTGACATAGCCCCGACATTCGTAGGCCGTAAATTACTATTTGGCTCCTCCTATACAATTTACAAGTTGCGCTTATTTGCTCGTTCAGGCTGGAGTGGTTCATGATCTGTTAAAACCCCACAGGTCGGTTGTCTAATGGCCGAGGCGCTGCTTAACCTGTGACCACCTGATGTGGCCCTTTGGGTAGACCTGATATTTACCATTTCTAAAACAGCACATCTAGGTCGTGGCTTTTGCGCACCAAAGGTTCAACCTTCTCGATACACCGAGCTAGTGCACGATACGCCTGTTTCAGCCTTCTCAATTCTCGCTAGGCTATCTGTTGAGCTGATCTCGGCTAAAACGACAAGCCGGGGCTTGTATAAAGGCTTGAGGTATAATAATTCTCACAGACAGACGATTTCCTCTCTAAATAAATAGACAAACTACTGGAGTGCTTGTCCCTCCAAAAACCTGACGCAGGGGGCACACATTTCCCTCCGTTTCGGGACGAGAAGGCGAGGTTCACCTCCAACTGGCTGGACAAATTCCTCGAGCACCTGCCCATCCTGACGTCTACCATACTCCTCTGGTCGGCGCCACCTCATCTCGATGCTTTCACAAAACATCTGTCGGCTGACAAATAAAGCCTTTCTACCGACTGTAGAGCTAGTGCGTTCACATGAGCTTGCAGGTGGGTATCTGCTGACCCACCAGGCGTTGTGCCTCCGTTAACTCCCATTGGCAGAGAGTGTTTTTTGGACTGTCGCCAGATAAATCCTTCGAAAAGATGAATGGGGCACAGTCAGAAAAATATTACGTTCTTAGGAGACTGGGCGAACCTACTGCATTCACAGCCAGTGGATGAAAATGGACCGCTTCATGGAAACCTGCGGGGGCTGCCAATTGTAAACGATTCCATCCAAGTTCTCCATAATAAGGCGGTCAACTCCAGACTCAAGAGTCTAGTAAAGAGCTGCTGAGTGCTTTTTAGAACAGCTCCGGCTGTCCTTTGCCCGCCCCCTGTAGATATCATATATGAGGGACGGGGGACAGCTGAGTTGCGCGTAGCTGCACTCTATCAGTATCTCGGGCATTTTTACATGGCAACTCCGGCATATGCACACAGCATTGCGCCGCTTTTTACCGAGCTAGCAGCCTTATGCACAAAACAATTCTAACGGACACTAAAGCCAACTACTCAATTTTCGGTAAATTCTTAGTTGAACATAACTCATGTAGTAAGAAGTGCTGAAGTGTATCTTAGCGCTCTGAATGTGTGGGTCACCTGCAAAAATCAGCGATTTAATTCGGGGTGCATTCAAAAGTATACTATTAAGCGTGTATAAAAAACTGGAATTTTGTTCTTAAGCAGACCTTATATGCGGGCCGTACACCGTAAAACCTGATACAGCAGACAACTGTTAGCAATGTGCCCTCAATAGAGATGTGTTTCCGTAGCATCCTGGACTTTGGTTGCCCAAAAGGGAGCGGGATCGAGCATTATCTAGTGGCGCGTACTGAGGTGTAATTACGTTAACCTTCCAGCCCTATTGGAGGTGTCCACACACCTTTGATTTCACGTTGGCACAGCCTGGAGCGCTCCAGTATACTAAACAGCTGCAGGAGTCCTAAGATAAGTAGCCTACCGGTGCTTTGTGATTCTCTCTGGGGCCAATAGTCAAATTGCTTGCCCTTCTTGCCCTCCCTCTCTCGTTCTCTGCGGCCTTGCGCTTAATTTAGCCCTTATTGTATCACTTCCCCTGTCGCTTTCGTGCTCCCACCCTGGCTCCGTGCTCATTTCCTGTAGTGTGCTGCAACGAGTCATACCAGCAGCCACAGAACCGAGGGGGAGAAAGAAAGGCCAAAAGCAGAAGTGCTTGACTCTAACAAGCACGCCAGCTCGCACATTTGTGGGTAACAAGGAAGAAAAGTACAGGCTGATATGCAGACTCGCGGAACTGCAGGGTAGAGATACAAGGAGAGAGTAGCAGAAAACAAAGTGGGGTTGAGGGCGCTTTACTGAATCTCATGCAAAGCAGGTAATCTAATGGACAGTCGGACCTCCTTGAGGGGGCATTCTGTAGCTTGGCAGGGTCACAGTGATTATGTACGGCGGCCGCAGCACTGGTCAGCAGCAGCGATCTAGAATGAAAAAAATGCGTGACGAGGCGCCTATGAACTGTGCGTAACAGCGCATCGACTCATCAGGGACACTTGGGCGAGGATTCTAAGCGCCGTCTCTGTGTCTCTCCTCTCTGCACTGCTTCACGAAGCCTTCCCTCTTCCTGCTCCTTTTATCCAGTCGATATATGTGCCATCAGGTGCAATCACACCAAGCGCTCGTCAGAGCCACATTGCTTTTAAAAAAAGATTTGGAGAGAAAACATAACCAGAATAAGGACACTGAATGAACAAATAGAGAAAATATGCAGCCTGAATAAAGAAAAGTTACTAAGAAAGGGCAACACAAAAAGGGGTCCAAGAGCAGGGCTGGCCGTGGATGTAGGCAACTACCCGCCGTCTTTAGACCTTTTAGTCGATAATGGATATAGTAAACGTATGAGACTTCTGCGAAGATATTTCGTTAGAGCAAGCAGTCCCTAGAGGTCGCTACAATTTGCATGCAGTCCACCCTTGTAGCAAAGGTGTGCTCTTGTGTATGTATACCGGTCAGACCTTAAAGCGCACGCCCATAATCCTACGCAACAAAACCTTTCTCTCTGTGTGTTTCAGTTTGGCTGGAGTTCTGCTTCCTGCTGTATTGTTTACGTAACGCAGTTCTTCCTGCAACCCATCTAGGGCCCCCTGTTGTTTCCTTCGCTCTCTAGCACTTCTCTGCTTCTTTCCAATTCTCCTGGGGGGTGCCACCAATTCCTATGCCAGCCTTCACCAAGTCTCCGCCAAGCGGAGACTTAATTCGCTTCAATCTCTCCCCTGATGGTACTGGTGCCCGACACAAAAGTCCCCTAGGGGCCCCTGGGTGACACGAACGCTCCTTCGTAGTGACCTTCCCTCATGCTGATTCTTAGGAACTTTGCAGAGGTTCAGTTATTGGGGTATAGGGAATTACGGGTACTGCGGGGGCAGCGGTATCATCGAGCATGTGTGTGACCCTCTGTGCTTTGCACACAAGGATTGCGTTTAGGAGTTCAGTGTTTCGAACTTATGCGCCTCAGGAGGGGGCGAGTTACACCTTGCTTTTGTTGTGGGGACGTGGAAGCAGTTGGAGGAGTTTCTTCATGCTGTCTTCGACCAGGGGACGCTCAGGCATCGTGTGGCCCTCGCCAGGGTGCGTTGTCTTCTAGTTTCAGCAGTATCTCATCGTATGCAATTCTGACATCTGCGAGCTTGATTTTGCTTGATGCCTGTGGGAACGCTGTGCATCCTTCACCCCTAATACCCCTATTTTTTCCGGGTACCTTCCCGGCAGCCTTCCACGCTGTCGCTGTTCTTTTCCGTGGAGCTCTGATCTCTGCCTGTCTGCCTCTTCCTCGTTTGGGTGGCTTGCTGCTGCGCATGGTCAAGCAGCGCTTTTCTGCTGCTGCCCTTCGTATTCCTTCGCTAATTTCCATCCACCCCTCTCCTAATCGCCATTGTTATTGCTGTTGCGGCTGCTGCGAATGCAGCGCATCGAAACGTTGGTCCTGGACGGCTGGGGTCCTTGTCTTCTAAGCCGAGTTTCAGCAGTTATTTCTGGAGCCCTCACTGCGAAGGTTGACGCCGCCGCAAGGGTCATACAAACGCTGGCTATTAAGAACGATGACGACCCTTTGGAAGGCACCTCAAGAGCCGAATATGACTCCAGAGCAAACCAGATACTTGAAGAGGCCCTCAACTTGTGGGAGTATTACTGCACAACTACGGTTAGCGATAGATCCGAAGGAGATGACTGATGAAGGCAGCTGTTTCTCTACGCTGTGGCTTCTGTGAAGAAAAATTTATGCTCCCTGAAATACTGATTGCCAAAGCAGTTCTGGTGTATCGGGCGCGAGTTTGCTGTACGTTCAAGGCTCTGAGGCTCTCAGCTGAGCAGGGGATTTTTTTTCGAATTTTCCGTGTGCCTTTTCGCAGCATCAGATCCAACAGGTCTGCGTACACCTGGATAGGTGTGTGGCTGTTGAAAAGGCGCCTTTCGATTCCCAGCAGCAACAGCAGCAACCACAGGGTTTGCAGGGTCTGTGCGACAAGCTCTTGAGTGGCGCTTTCACAGGCCATGATGCAACCTTGCAGCAGTTGACTGCAGCACTCTTGCACGTTACTGAAACGGAACGCCGGCAAAAGAAGGACCCCAATCCAAAGCATAGGAGCCTAACCCTCATGTACATTCACCTCAACGTATGTGGCAGACTCTCCGGGGGTCCTTTGGCTCTTTCTTTTTTGACTGACACTCTTACCCATTAGTCACTAATTGATATTCTTTTAGTCCAATCGGCTGCCCGGTCTAAGGATACGCTTTTAGCATGTCTTCTCCCTCTGTGCATGTGAATGTGTTTAGCGGTATTTCGATCTCTTGGAGCCTTCCCTGATCGCGGCATCGCGTCAGTCCTTCCGTGCTGCTAGTGAAAAACTTCTGGGGGCCCCCGGTACACCTGAATCGGGAGAGCCACCCGTAGGGGCCCCCTTGTCAGCGTACCTGTCCTTTGCTGCTTCTGCGCTGCTCCGCGAGAGGAGGCGTCTGGAGCTGACGCTACACGGAGCCTCAGAGAGCCTTCTCATGGGAATCATGCAGGAGGAGCTAGTTCGAAGGCACCGAGAGACTCTAGCAAATCCTGCGGCAATTCAGTTGTATCTGAAGCTCGGAGACAAAGAGAATTTGCAGATCCTTTATGAGCTCTTTGCTGTAGCAGAGGAGCTACCCCTGCTGAAGAAGAATGCACTTGCTGCTGTTAGATCGCAGGGCGAGCTTCTTCTGAATACACTCAAGTCGGCCAGCTTGAACAGCGGCGGCAAGCGTTTTATTGCAGATCTGTTGGAAATGAAGCAGACACACGAGGCGGTATTCGTAGATGCGTTTGCTGCCAATCAAGACTTTCTCCTTGGACTTAAAGTCAGAGCCGGAGCCCAGCCCACAGCAAGGCCCACTGCCCACCAGAGAGCTACCCATGTCGAGGGCAAAAGATCTTTCTCTACTGCGGAGTTCATGTGCTTGCATGCTGCTCTGCGTTTCTTCGTAGGAAGCCTGGGAATCCTTTCTGATGGCTGAGGGACCCGTAGTGACGGCAATAGCCCGTCTGCTCTGTACGTCAAGGCCCTTATCTTCTATAGTCTTGGCTGCACGCGGCATCGCTCTCGGCCGGCGACTTTGTTGAGAATAGTTCTCAGCTGTCAGCTTCTGACTTTGCTGCCTGAAGGTTGCTGTGCATGGTCCTCGGGGGGCCCTGTGTAGCAGTCTCACATGAAAGAAGGCAGGCGATGGGGCGCAATCATGCTACCCTTCTCCTTATTGTGCAAAGGCTTATGCATATGGTGTACCGCGCGCTTCAGTTCACTTGGCTCTCGTGCTGCGGTTTTTGTTTGTTGCGTGCGTGAGTTGGACTTTTTCGCTTGCCACCTTCGATGTATATTCATGCATGCAACATCGTTCCGCTCCATTTGTTGCATCGCTTCAGCGCGTCATATCGATTCCATCATTAGGAAGGCGGGAGCTGGCCAAAAGTCCGCCCCCGGAGATCCTCCTGAGGGCCTTCCCGATGAGGACCCGGAGGTTCAAATAGAAAAAGTTATTGGGTTGTTTGCTCTAATTGCCGGCAAGGAAACGTTCGAGGTGGGGACAGCTTGTATGGGGTTTGCGACATGTATGTGTGTATATATGTGTATGTATGTATGTGTGTATATGTATTTGTATGTATGTATGTGTGTGTATGTATCTGTACGTATGTATGTGTGTGTAGGTATTTGTATGTATGTTTGTGTGTATATGTATTTGTATGTATGTGTGTATGTAAGTCTGTGTCTATGTGTGTGTTTGGCTTATATGGAATACGGCTGAAATACTGGCCTATGGTGTGCTTGCCTGCAGCAATTCTATCGATTGGACCTCTCCCGGCGTTTGCTCTTGCACGGGCTCGCCAATGAAGACCTTGAGAAGACACTTGTTCGGAGACTGAGAGACGGTAATGAGGGCTGCATGACAATATTGTCTAACTGATACAGTAGAGGCAGCCCTTTCGGCACTACGGAGCCTTACATGCATGAGGAGTCTGTGGTACAGCCGGCGTGTAGCCGGAGCAGGGAGGGTCTGCCGGACTAGTGGTGGGACCCCTGCTGCGTAGTGGTGGGGTGGGTGTTTCTTGCCTTAATAGATGCACAGGTGACACAGATATACACACTGTTTCTCATTAAATGTGTGCCTACGCCAGAGTGCGGACCCCAGTATACCAGCAAGATCGAGGCCATGATTGCAGATATCAAGCTCTCAGAGACCCTCATGGAGAAAATGAAAACTGTACACCCCAACACTCAACATCTCCACCGCCGTGTGTCTTACTCTCTTTTTCTGTCACATTCGCAGGCGCTTTCTGCCGCAGCATCCTCCCGGCTGCACTGTATGGCAGTCTTGGTTTGCTTGTCTCTGTGCAGGACCCCGTGTCTGGCAATGCGCTGGCAGCTGTGGGGTGTTCTCTGCATGCCCGCGTGTGCGCCAAAGGGATGTGGCCTGCCTTTGGGGGCGTATGTGCGGCGACCTTGATCCTCTCGCCTCCCTTCTCCACCCTGCAGGAGATCTTTTTTGAGTACTACGGCAGATCCGCCAGCGGAAGGAAGCTGCAGATGGTCCCGTCTATGAGCACCTGCGAGGTCACCGCGCGAATTTCCCCGCCAACAAAAGCAGCAGGAGTGAGCTAGAATATGGCGCACAGGGGTGAACTTGCGGGATATATTTTTAACGGTTATGCTCTGCCCTGCCTCATCGCATGATGCCCTTTGCTCGTATCCGTCTCTTCCCCCTTCGCCGTGCCGTCCGTGAGCCACTCAATGTGGCACGGCTATCTCCAAGGCTGCCGCCTTCTTCAGCCTGCGGGGGCCCCCAGACAGGTACCAGAGCACTCTTCTACTTCACTAACGCGCACTGACGCGGCTCTTTTGGAATGTGTCGTGTGCCGTCTAGGCGAGCGAAGGGATGCCTGTCGACGGATCCTCATCCTCCGCTTTCGCTGCATCGCAGCCATCCTCCTCTTCGCGAACTTCCTACATCCTCTTTACATCGCAGTTACAAGCGCTCTGTCTGCTTGCATTCAACGCGCACCACTCTTTGTCGCTTGCGAGCTTGAGAAACGCCACAGGCCTGAGTCCGTATTTTAATACCCAGACACCGTGCAGCCCAGGGCGAGGCTGCTGACTGGTGTATGTAGCTGCCCTCTCTCGACATCCATTTGCTCATGCACCCGATGCGCTCAATACATCACGAGCCTCACTCATGTGCACCAGTCGTCCGTCGCAACTCATGCTTTCGTATCCTCGCCATCGCTTTCACACTGACGAGATGCTCCCTTCTGCGTCGACCCCACCTCAGTTTGTTTTGTGCGCTTCTGACTGCATGGACAGCTGATGAGGAACTGATGGATGAACTCTCCGGGCTCTGTACTGCCAGCCAAACGAACATCCTTCACAAAGACATCAGAGACGTCAGCCGCATACTCTGACTCTCCTTCCATGTCTCCTGTCCTCCTCCCTTCCTCCTGCTTCCGCAGACATCGCCTCCCTCTTTGTACTTGGGGGCTCTCTCCCCCGTTCGTTACCTCTTTGCCTCTATTCTTACGTGCCGCAGTCCCATCCTAATCTCAGGAGAGGTGTTCCCTGTTTTTCGCCATTCTAGTTGCCATGGCCCTTTGCACTGCCTTCATATTCCCCCTTTTCTGATGTCTGGCACCCCTTGTCATCTGCAAACGCGCCCATGCATCTCCCTCGATTCCGCAGGGAGAGCACGTATACAGCGTCAACTTCAACTTCTACTCGCCTTTGAAACGCATAAAGGTCTTACAGGCCAAATCCCAGGCCTCACCCGTAAGTCCTTAACCTCATAAAGGTGCCCACTAGTGCAGGGAGGCAGGATTATGGTTATGCGGCTCGCCAAGAGAGGATTTCTCCCTCTCTGCCTGCACCGGACCATAATCCGTCCTTTGGGGGTTTCAACGTCTCGCCTGCCACGTATCATGTCTCCTTTCCATACTCTCTGTATGCCCTGCTAATGCTCCCGTTCATCTCCGTACAGTGCTTTCCTACTGCTTGTTTGCTTTTATTATGCGGCTTGCTCCGCAGCCTCAATTTACTTATGTCCTCCCTCCATTCCTCTATAATTACGTCTACCCTTCTTCTTCGTGCCTGCCTGTTTTTATCCTTCAGCAGGAGGGCGAGGCCTCAGGGGAACCTCCCCCAGACGCCGACCTCACCCACCAAATCGATGCAGGTATCGTGCGTATCTTGAAACGGGTCTCTTCCATGCGGCATCAGGAGCTCTTTGGGGCTCTTGCGGAAGCCCTTAAGAGGCCTGTAGATGCCGCAACGCTAAAGAAGAGACTCGAGAGCCTTATCGATAGAGACTACATTGCCAGGGACGCAGCAGACAGCCAAGCTTACCGATACGTGGCATAGGAGCCCCCATGCATGGAGGGGGCCTAGAAGGTCTTGGTCTATTCCACTGCAATGCTTTTTCTCATCATCAAGGGGTAGAGGGAGTGCCTAGAGGGGGGCTAGGGGTTTGTTGGGCGCCCTCCCTCCTATCTAATGCTCCCTCGTAATCGCCCTCTATTTTACGCCCCCCAAATTGCTTTTGCTGTCCCTAGTCCTTGACTAATTGAGTCCTTGTGCCGTAAAATGTGGACAACAGACATAAGGGATAGTATCCATGCGATTAGGTCACCGTAGAGCTCGTGAGAGTGAGTCCCTATGCACCCCTCGGCTGCAGGGGCACGTCACCCCCTTAAACCTCGCTCTGCATGCTAAGGGGGTTGTGAGCACGGCGGGCTTACCATAGTGAGGCTTCGCGCTTATAATGCTGCCACATGTCATATTCTGCTGACACGGGGCCTGTCTAAGCAGAAAAAAGTCCGCTTATTTAGACGCCCGTAAGGTAGGGTGGCAGACCACTGGTGCACGCTTCCGGGAGGGCCGAGCGGGTTTCTCTAGCGAAACAGGCAGCCCCTGGTGTCCTTTACCTTGAAATATTGCCTATTTTGCGTCATGAACGAAAATACTAATCAGTTGGCGCATTTGGAATCATGGCAAGAGCCCCCAGGCCAGTGGCCCCCCCGCGATCCCTGCTATCACCTCCTATCACCCCCCCATAAAGCACTCACTTTTGGCGGGTCAGGTGGCTGCTCTCGGTTCTGTGTCCCCTACTTTTGAAAGCTCCAAATAATAGGCTTAAGACCCATATATTTTATTATTTTAAAGCACTTTGAGCATCCTTTTCGCGAAATGTGCCCAAACCCCACCAGTAACACAACGGCACCCTGTTTTCACACCACTGACCCTCGCCCACTTGTGAACAACAAACTCTTGGAGACACACCAGTTCCACGATTCCAGGGTATTTCGGCATGTTTTTAAATGAATGTTCCATTGACAGAGTGCTCGTCCCACAAGTGACATGCTGAAGGCATCCTCAACACAGGTCCCCTCGTAGGTCACTTGCGGTTCTATCACCCGTCTTGGGGCAGGCCCCCTAACGCCGCTTCCCTCCCTGAACTGTTTATACCCTCCGACTCCATGCACTAATGGGAAGCTTTTCCGCTCGGTCTCAGGTAGGGGCGTCTCCATTAGGGAGCAGTGAAGGACCCCGCTCAGAAGCGAGCACAGACAGTCCTTCTTCCGCATCAAGGGGAGACACACGGCCCCAAAGCGAACTCGAAGGGCCCTCTTTCTGTGACACGAGGTCAAGTAGTCCGGAAAATCTAGTAAGAGGCCACGTTCCACCAGCAGCACAAACAACAACGCAGGCAGCAGAAGATGGAATATCAACGGCAGAACCAGCAGAAGATGCAGAAATTGCAATACCAGAAGAATCAGCAGAAAGGGCGCCAAGGATATCAGAAGAAAGTGGGATCACAACGGCAGAGCTAACAGCGGAAGGCACTACAGGATTTAGATGTGATGACCTATCTTTACAAGGGGATGCTCCTTGTGGTCATGAGGTCTTGGTGGAAATGCATCTAAAACCCTCTCTAGGTGAGGGGCCTCCTCCATCATCAGTCCCCTCGACAGGGAGCATCACGGAGAAGACGGTATCGAGGCCCTCTCCGCCACCTTTGATGGCTTCTGCTCTCTCTGGTGGAATTCCAATGCGCAGTGCCAGCAGCGTCAGAAGGAAGACAGACAACGCGGAAACAGCGGGGCGCCCTTGGTGTCGCTACACCTGGACTTTTGCTCAGCACTTTAGGGATCCGCAGCTGCTGCCGCTGCATGCGGCTGCCTTCGCTGCAGCACGACAGCGCTGGGAAGCCCTGAGGACCAGAGCAGGGAGCCCTCCCACGCACACAGAGAGGCTCGACGATCAGAATGGAGAACAACTTGCGCAGCGACAGCAACCCCACCAGCAGGAGCAGCGGGAAACGGAAGATTCTGGTGGCATTGTACAGGTTTCCCTCCGTGTAGCTGGGAATACTGCGGTGTATGTATACCCCGGAGCGAGGAGCCCTCCACTTGCTGGCATCCCTGACAGCTTGTACTATGCTCTGGACGTCCCTAGTCAGGAGCAAGCGCAAGATCTTACCTCAGATGACGTAGATGAGAGAGACGCTTTTAGAAGGCCCCTCCAGAAAGACGAAAACTCGCTGCAAATGCTAGAGAGGCCCCTGCTGCTTTCCCACTCCGACGCCTTGGACTTCACTGAAGAGGGTCCTCCATCAAGTATGTCAGTACACTGCAGCCGCCACTAGGGCCCCCAGGAGGGCCCCGCCCCTAACCCCCCTCCAACCGCGGCACCTTGTGTTGCGAAGGCCTCTTCCAGCTCTGCGGAGAAATGCTCGGCACTCCACGCCTTTGCAGCTCTTTGCACTGGAAAGCGCCGACCTCCTGCCAGCAATCTTGTCGGTGTTGCTAATTCAGGTGCTGTAAAACTCGGTGTATCGAGCGCAGCCTGTGGGGCCCCCCAGGGGAGTGCCGTACGCCTCTCGTGCTTCAGTCCAAGCCGCCTGCCGCTGCTGCTGCTGAGGGCCCCCAGGACGGATAACGATGAGTGGCCTGTTGCAGTTTTGGACCCGCAGGGGCCCGCCATTCCTGGAGCGCACACTGTGAGGCATTCGGGTTGCAGTTTTTGTTGGAGCTTTGTTGCGCTTCGCTTGCCCGCTCGCTGCTGCTGCTTGTCGCGCTGGGAGGCGTGTTGATGCCGCACTTGTTGGTGTCTGCTCCTACTTTTGTTGCTGTTTTTGTTGCCGTTTGCGGCTGCAGGCCCCTATTGTGTTGGAGCACGTCGCAGGTGCAGTGCAACGGCTGGGGTGTGCGAACACCTCAGAGGGCCTCACCTTTCCGCTTCCTCTACCTCCGCCTCCAGGGGCGCCGAAGGGGCCTATTTTTGGAGGAGACGTCGACGCCAGTGACACTTTCAAGGGAGGCTCTCGGTGGGGTTTGGTCTGCTCGGACGTGTGTAGTGCCGCGGCCTTTGTAGCCGACGTAGACGCCCCTACGCTGCTGGGGGTTCCAGGAGCCTCTCTTTTTCGCGCAAATTGCCAATTTTGTCTGGTATGCCTCCCCACATACGACATATAGAGTTGTCTAGAGGTTCTTTTTGAGGATCTATCGCTGTTCAGAGGCCCTTCCTAAGAGGGATCGTTGTTTAGGAGCGTCTCTTGAGATGGATCGTTGTTTAGAGGCCGTACTTAAGACGAATCGTCGTTTAGAGGCCCCTCTTACTATGAGCCGTTGTTAAAAAGCCCCTCTTACGATGGGTCTGTACAACACAGCCCCCACAGGGGGGGTTTCCGCAGCCTGGTTTTCTGCAGTTAATTCATACCTCGACCATGTTGGTGCATGTGCTGCTGTTGCTGCTGCTGCAGGTGTACCTGAATGGGTGGCCGCACGTCTTCCTCTGCTCCATTCCAGGAGTGCCTCTTCGTCCCGGGGAAATTCTAGTGCATCACGGATTCAATCTTATGGGATCCAAGCAGCAGCAGCAGCACATTGCTGCAGCGCGGGCGGCTCTGAGAAGCAGACTTGCAGCCACTATTGGCGTAATGAGGCCACTTCTTAGTCGCTCTACCGCCCGCTGCGTAGCATATGAGGGGGCCCCTGCTTATCCTGCTGCTAGTAAGGACGGGCACTCCAAAGGCGTGCAAGCGCCCCTCGAAGACACCTCCTTGACAACCGGAGTGAGCTCCCAGCTTCGCCCCCAGGAGAGGGCCCTCGCGCTGCAGCGTATCTACAGTCAGAGGGGCCCCAACAGGTTTGAGAGGTGTGATATCTGCAAGAAAGCCGAGTGCAGCGCTTGCGGAGGGGCAACGCGGGCAGCAATCTCAGGAGAACTGCCCGGAGCAGCTGCGGTGTCAAAAGGAGCAGGTTCTTGCCAGCTATTGCAGTGTGATAGCTGCCTCAATGGATACCACAGATGCTGTTTAGGCGCTTCCACGGAGTTTCTGCCTCCCCCCTCTGCCTCGGAATGGCTGTGTGGCCGCTGTGTGAGCATGGGATACCGGGCTGCCGCTCTAGTGGAGACATCTCCGACGTTTCTTCAAACCTGCGGAGAGGACTCTTGGAGATCGCCTCTTGAAGGTCCTTGGAAGCCGCAGTGCGCAGTGGCGATGACGGGGGGAGGATCTCACTGGCTCCGTCAGGCTGCCGAAGAGGCCCTCTGTTGTGTTCTCCCGTTCCGAATCAGGGGCCCCGCTCAGGCGTGCCAGGTAGGTCGTGATTCTGTTTTTCTACGACCCAATTTTCCCCCCTTTATGCGTCTTGTACCGACCTTGCCGCTCTGCTTTTGCAGTAACATCGTTCAGGCAGCTTCTGGTGCTGCGAATGCTGCAGTTTTGGGATCTTCAACACGCAGCTGTTGACTCCTTCAATTCGCCTCGCAGTGGCATAGTGACGTCCGTTACTCTGCCAGAGTTCTCAGAAAGTGCAGAGCCAGCAGACGACACCGAAGAAGAACGAGACGCACCAACTGCATGCACCGAAGCAAAGGCGGCAGAAGAAGCGCTTGTAACGACGGCAGCAACGGGCACAGCGGTAGCAGATGAGTCAGTCGCCCGTCCGGGCACGGCTTCTCTTCCGCCGATAGAGAGCTCGCAAGGCTCCACGCCAGAAGAGCCCACAGGCTGCTCGCAAGAGCGAGGCTCCATCCAGCAAGCCCAACAACAGGAGCAAGGCGAGCACGACACGTCTAGCATTGAGAAAGCGTGGAAAGCGTGGCGTGGAGCACATCAGCAGCACAAGGAAGCTTGGGGCCTTCTGACTCCATGTATCCACTGCTTCGCTGAAAGACATCGCGCTGGGAGGGGGGGTTCCTCGTGGCTTTTGGGGGGCTCAATTGAGACAGCTTTCTTCTGCCGCATTGTCTCCCTGCACGTGGGGGCCCCCGATTGTCGCTGCTCGGGGGGCCCTGAGGCGCTTCGAGCTGCTGCTGCTGCAGCCCAGTCCCCGCTGCTGCTGCAGAAAGACGTCGCGTGGGAGACAGACACTGAATGGCAGCGGCTGCAGCAAGAGGCCCCCCTTTCCCCTAAGACTGCCGCAGCGAAAAAGCGGACTGGCGGTTTTACCGACAAGAAAAAGGGCCTTCGTACAAACCAGACACGCAGCCTGTGCTCACTGATGTTGAAGGACGCCCCTGAGGAACACACGGGGGTTACACTGTGGGAGCTGCCGAAGGCGCTGGCCACACTTTGGGGTCGTCGCGGGAATTTCTTTGGGGAGCAGCCGCAGCAAGTGCAGCACCCTGCGCAGCAGCGAATAGAGCATCAGCAAAAGCAGCAGCTCAAGCGGATAGGATTGCTGCTTCGTTGGGCCCTCTGCGTGTTGCAGCGGCTCAATGCTGAGGAGAGGGCCGTTAAGGAAATGTGTTGGCTCCTCATGTCAAGGCGGGGGGAGCTGGAAGGAGCTCTTGAGGGGGGGGCCCCTGAGGCGTTCTTTGAGAAAGCCCCTTGTCCTGGTGCTCTGGGGGGGCCCCAAGTCGGCCCCTTCACTCCCGCCACGTATGCGAGTACCCTCGGTTCTGCTGCTGCCAGTATGGCGGCACCAGCAGCAGGGGCCTCCTTGATGCTGTCAGTGCTGCCCCGTCAGGAGGGGGGGGGGCCGCTCCTCCAAGATTTCGTAGGCTGCTCTGCAAACACCTATGCCTCCCAAGGGCCCGTACTGACGGGGGCCCCTGTACTCGGCGAGAGAGGCCCCTACATCGCGATGGGGCCCTCACGCGTGGGGGGGGAGCCACAGCCCGGAGGGTCCCTTGCGAGCCTCTTAGACGAAGATTCCAGCTCTTCTTTGGCTGTTTCGTCTGTCTCTTCTGATGAAGAGACAGAGGGGCCCCACGGAGGCCCTGCAGAGGGGGGCCCCACCCCACCCGCGCACAGGCCACACCGCAACGGCGCGAGTGAGCGCCTCCCGTGCGGCCTCGCCAAGGAGGGCCCCCCGCAGCTAAGGGGAGGCTCGCGTTCCTCAAAGGGTCGTGAGAATCCGACCGCCGAGGCGCTTCAGCCAGCAAAGCGCCAACGACGGGGGGCCCTGGCTCAATCAGGGGCCCCTCAGGACGGCTGTCCAGTTGCGTCGAGCGCTGCGGCCTTCCGTGGGTCACGATGCAGCAGCAGCTCCCTCCGGGGGCCCCACCCAAAAGGGATCATTCCGCCGCTTAGTGTGGCAGAGAGAGACAGAGGCCTCGCAGCCAAGGCAAGAGCCATGCATCCAGGATTGAAGGGCCTCTACTGGCAAAATGATGGATGGTGAGTGCGGGTAACCAGCCCACAGGCGAAGGCTGTCTGTCGAAGGCTGTCGGCTCTCCCCACCCCCGACTTTCAGGGCCCCCTTGCTTGTTTGGCCACCAAACAAAGCTGAGACTTCTCCAAAGCAATCAAAACATTTGCAGGGCATGCTGCGTATCGATTATCCTCCTGGTTGCTGCGCTGTCTGTTGCTGCTGTTTCAGGCTTGCGTGCGCCAAATTCCGAAACTTGGGAATGCCAAACGATAGGGGCGGCTCGAAGTGGGACTCGCACGAGAAGCGACAGCTGTTTCGAGTGTCTGGGGAAGCCCAGCTAGCTACTCAGCTAGCGGCGGCCTGTGAATTCCTCCGGCAGCACCAACAGCAACAGCAGGATCGGCATAGACTGCCTGCATCCACCGACGACTTGACGAGCCCCCGAGAAGGTGTTTCCGCGCGCCATGCAGCTAACCGGAGCGGCGACGGGCGCACCGCAGCTTCAGAAGCCGCCAGAATTCTGAAGGGGTCCAGCACTGCTGTCGAGGCCCCTGCTGCAGCGGACGATGCGCCTGAGCAAGACGCGGAGTCGCTTGAGGAGCAAGTAAAGGCCCTCAAGCCGTTTGACTACCCCTGCATCTCCTGGAGCCGCGTTAAGAAGTGTTTCTGCCTCAGAGTCTTCCAGCTCATAGAGTCAAGGTCCCCGCAGCGGCCATCTGGGGGCACACACGAAGGCCTCCACGAGGGGGACGGGGCCCCTCTAGGGGCCCCAAGAAAGAGAAGAGGCAAGCTCCTCTACAGCAGGACGTTCAGCGTTAAAGCCTACGGGGGTGTTCAAGAGGCCCTCGCGGCTACGTACGAGGTTGCCAGGGCGGTAGGGTACGAGCCTCTGGAGAACGCAAGGGCAGGCCTCAGAGGGGCCCCCCCTTCCGATGGATCTTCTGCCGTTGCAGACAGTGAGCAGGCACCTGTTCAGGCCCCAGAGGGCCCCCAGCAGGCTGCAGAATCGGCTGGAAAGGAGCCGCTCCCGCCAACTCGGGAAGCCCCCTCCTACCTGGGCTTTGAGAAAATTCCGGTAGGACAAGATAAGGAAAAGCGTCTGACAGACAGGCGACCGGAGGCATGCACTGAGCCTTGTCGTTCCTCCGTTGGAAGCAGCTCCGAAGCGCCGCCAGAAAGGCTGTCCGAGGAGAGACACGAACAAGGGCACTCGCACAGAGCCTGCATTGCGAACGCGGCCCCCAGTAAGGACGCCACTCCTGGGGCAGAAACTTCGAGAGAAAATCTCGGCAATCCTGGAGAGTCACGCAATCGGGAGGAGGCTCCCCTGGAGGGGTGTCGGGCCTCAAATGGACGCTTCCCTTACACTGCTTGGAGTGCCTCCATCCTTGCAGATGCGTCTGGGCATGGAGAGTCCGTCTCGCGCCTTGCAAGCCCCCGTCGAAGGTGCCTAGCGGAGGAGGCCTCCAGAGACTTCTGGAGGCATCCCTCAAGTCGGTCGCTAGTTGGAAGGCAGGTCGATGAGACGCTGAAGGAGCGTAGGAGTGGATACCAGCAGCAGTTCCTCCCCCCATCCAGAGCACCAGACGAATCGGAGGAGACGCAGGCCCCTTGTGGGGCCCCTCCCAAGGTGAAGGATGGAACGGCCAGGCCAGAGTGTCAAGGGCCCCCTTCAGACAACAGTGACAGCCCCATACATGCGCCAACGTCAGCCAGGCGTGTGAGGAGGCCCTCCATACATGCGGAAGGCCCTCCTCCGAGGCGTCATACGTTGTCGCAATCTCCTCAGAAGCGATATTGGCTCAAGGATTTACCCGAGGCGCTCGGGGAGAAGGACCCCACGCGTCATGGCGAGCGGCTTCCTCAGGAGCTTGCTCGGCACAGAGAGGCCTCACAAGAGCGCGAAGATGCACATAGGGGATGCCACCGGGTGCTCCCGTTGGAGCCTCGGAGATGGCGCGGAGCTGGTTCCCCTGCAATGCCGTATGGCGAGAAAGGTTCCTCTCCCAGGGGATACTATCCTCCTGCGAAGGCGAGAGAAGAGGGCCCTTCTTCTGACAAAGCTGCGGAACTATTCGCAAGGGACCCGCGGCGTGGATACACCCCTTGCGAGGGCCCCTACAGGGAGGAGCTTTCAGGGAGACGGGCACCTTGCTCTGACTCCTACTTAAAAAAGGGGATGCTAGGCTGCGGAGAGGATGTGCAGCAGCAGTACGGCAAGCCGCAGCAACGAGCTCCAAAGGAAGAAGAGACGCTTAGAAGCAACCGCGGTCGGCGGGCTTCGAAAGAGTCTTCAAGAGGCTTCCGATGGGGAACATCCTATAGGAACGCTAGAACTAGATCGCGAGGCCTCTCCAGCCATCGCTCACGGGAGCGTCAGGAGCTTCCTCCTCGCTCTCCACTTCATAGGCGGCGAGAACAGGGGTACAGCCGCCACAGGTACTGCAGCGCGAGCAGTAGCAGCAGGTGCAGCAGCCGAAGCAGCAACAGACACCGGCACAGCATCAACAGTGGGCGAACCAGCGGGAGACGGCTCCAGTGCAGCAGCAGGTACAGCAGCGGGGGGCCCCCCCGCAGCCCACTCTCACCCAGAAGGCGTCCCTACAGACCCCACAGCAGGAGCAACAGCAGGCTCAGCAGCAGGAGCAGCGGCTCCCACAAGAGATATTGGGGGGCCAGCTGGCTTCAGAGGCAGACGCAGCTGCACTCCAGCAATACCAGCCGCAAGCGCAGCAGCAGCAGGAGCACCAGTAGGTCTCGTGCATGTCTCTGGAGACGCTCCTTTGACTCTTGGGCCCCTCCGGCAAGATGTCAGAGGCAGCAGCAACAACGACAGCAACACATGGTCCGTCTTAGCAACCAGAGCCCAAGGAAAAGGACTCCCCGCCGCAGCAGTTGCCAAAGCAGCCGCAGGCGTAGCACCAGCTACAGCAGGGGTTCGGAAAGTCAATCTCGAAGAAGGGGCTTCTGGGGACCGACAAATCCTAACAAGGACCCTAAGGGGTCCTTCACAAGGCACGGTGAATCCGCAAAAGCATGCGAGACTCACAACAGCCCCACCGACAGGCCTTTCGAATGCAGCAGCAGAGGCAGCGCTCAATCAAGGGGGGAGGCGCTTCATCGATACAGAATTTCTCAGTCCCGCATGAGAAAGAGCTCCGCAACAGCCGTTGACACATATCGTGGCAGGGCTGGCAGTGCATCATCAATGCAGCAACATTATGCCCAGAAGGAGTCGGTGTGTAGTAGTAGCCACATATCTTCCTGGGCGCCCCCCTCCTCGAGGGAGAAAGCGGCCGACCATCCCGACAGCAAGCAAGGTTCAGCTAACAGGGGTGTCTCTCCATCGTGGAGGCTTCCCTCGAAGGAGGCTACGCTTGACACCGTCTTCTCAGGGGGCCCCCAAAGGCCTTCTCGCCCGAAAGTGATTACTGTGGCGCTTAGACAAAACAGTGCAGCGCCGAGTGTCCCACAGATTCAGCAGTAGCTGATGCACCACTGCAAGCCTCAAAACGCTACTTCATAACAGAACCTCGGGTCAAAGAAACAAATGGACGATGCATATACCTGGGCAGAATAATCTGACGGAGAGAAGCGATAGAAAATTCCTAGACGCTGCAGGGAAAGGGTGTATATCGGTTGATTACTGCGAAAAATAGGAGTCGGCAGAGATTTAACAGGGCTAGCATAGTTGAATGCAGCTTTTGAACAACAGACGGAAGGTGGGAGGGCGAACTAATCAGCAGACGATGGAAGAACGGCTGATTGAGAGCTGTAGTGCCAGATGTTTCGGGGTATAGGAGGATGGAATAGGATCTGACAGCGTTTAGAGGGAGGCTGTAGCACGGTGTAGTGGTAAAACGCTCAGAGACCCACTAAGTCCTAGTTCCGTGTATCCAGGCTACCAGTGACAGCGCATCCAATCAAGCGAAACCATTTTTCAAGCTACAGCCCACGCTCAGGTCTAGGACCGTGATGGACCCTCACGCCTGCCGTAAGGAATCTTGCTTCACATCACGGACAGTGATTCACTTGTCACCTACTCTGGTAGCTGGGGACGACGACGAATGGAATTCATTCAGTGGCTGGGTATACGACACTAATAAAAGGGTATCAGCCCCCAAAGCGCCATATGGCCGTTCAGTACAGTGGGTGAAGTTCCAGACAGGGGAAAGGTGTCCAGAGATGCCCTATCCAGTTGGCCCCGCAGTATACACCAATGTAAGAGCACCTAAGGCATTAAAGAGAGACTAAAGGGAAGAAAGGCACGGTGCGCGACTGGTAAAGGGGGAAACAACAACAATCGCGTCTGCTGTAGCAGTTGCGCGATGGTATATCGGAATGGCCCTCCAGCCGGCATTGTCTGTTTACGGGCATATACCGCGTCAACTCACGGGCAAGCCTAGCTTTGCACTATAGTATTTCCCTATCCATACTCAGCTCCTAGAGATCCATATTTGTTGAAATCGGTATATGTTTGCCTTCTTTTTCCCCCTTGAGTCCATGTTTATGTTTGTGACTCATTGTCACTTAATTTCGCATGCCATAATTTCTTCCTAGCTCTTGATTATCTCTCTTTCTTTTAACCTAATCGCCACCATTCTTGTGCTTGCGTCGGTTCCCTTCTCTGCGTATTTTACTCTCTGTGCATGCCTACATCTCGGCCGATGTGCTTGTTACAGGGCTCTTGCCCGTTCCCGTCTCGGCATTCTTTCTCAGAAAGTCGCTTTCTGTCCTCATCATTATTACTACCCGTGATGGTGACAGTCTCGCTTTATTTTCTATGGATGTTAGGTAGGGCCTTTAAAGGAAGAACCCCTTAAACCCCGTGGGGGACCCCGGACTCGCGCCTGGCAGCCAACAACAGTCGGCTGCGGGCTTGGGGGGTCTGCTACTTTATTCTGCGTTAAACATAGCCCCCGATATAGAAAACTATGTGCATTAGGTATATGTACTTCGTTTTCTGTGTCGAGCGGCGAGCCGTGAGGTTTATGTACACCTCACTGGGCCCACCGAGGCAGCGCTAGCCACTGAAGGGGCCCGCGGATGAGGCCAACAGCTGTGGAGTTAGGCTACCCTTTTGGCTAGTTCTGGTTTTCTTCTTTTTTTCCTTCATTAACCGCTTTCATTCCTCCTTTGTCATCGCCACGGCAGTACCAGGGGTTCCTAGGCAAACGTGCTACGCTCGGGCGTCGATCGGCTGTGCAGCTGCCGCCTAGAACTTCTTCGCTTCCTTGTTTTCTTCTTTCATTTAGCTGCCTCAAATGCGGATCTGTGCAGCTGGATAATAAAGGGAAAGGCTTTCTGGGCATCATATATTGGTAGATATATGCACAGCAGGGGGCCCCCAAGGGTACTGCTACCGCTCAACCAGAGCCACTGAGGCCGCCCGTTGGCGGGGGAGCGACGCCTGGTTGAACGATTTTATGCATTGCTTCCTTTGACTGACCGAAAGACGATCGTAAACGGGTATATGACTGGTTTTCACCCTCCCAGAAATGGCCCCACACAACTACTTTCTATCTGCCGTCTCGCTCGTTTGACGCCGGATCTCCCAGGTGGACGTACAACAGGGAAGATAGGACTGTGTACTGCCTAAGAAGGAACCGTCGCTAAGGCTTGCAAGGTCACTTTTATGGTAGAACAAGCGTCCTTCTGCTGGTAGGGACGTGTGCGCCCGGGCAAGCCAACCACCTCCGAGGCACTGTCGAGTTCTTGCCTGCTACAGTGGCTACAGCTGCAGATCCAGGTGACTAGCGTACTATTACAGCAGCCTTACTTGGTATTTTATTCTTACGTAAGAGGTCAAAACGTGTATGCCACGCTGCTCGTAGCGCGGTTTACAGTAGCTCGTTTTCCCCCTTCATGTTTCTGCTCATCTGAGCTAGCGTCACCTTATTCCTTCAGCCTTTCACTTTTCTTCATTTCTCCTTTCCTTGGTTTTCCCTTCATCACTCCTAGCATCTCTATGAACTCTCAACAGCAGATAGCACTGCGGATACCACCAGTTGCAGGGGCCCTCTGCCCCGACCTCAGCAGCGGCACCTAATTGTAGAGGCGTTCCAGCTGCCACATACCACGGACAGGCCGTAGCCTTCCTGCTAAAGTAGTCAATACAGGACTGCTTGAATTTTTACGAGCTTTCCAATCGCAGTTCGGATGTTCGGACACAGCAGCAGCAGCACGTGCAAGATCAGTAGGCTCCCCAACAACGGAAACACCAGTAGCTGCAGTAGTGACGGCGAAAGTACCAGCGACGATGGCCTGCCGGCCCTTGCTAAGCGAGGAAGACTTATTTAGATTCCGTACAAAGAGCTGCAGGCGTCTTTCCAGTGGAGGATGTGACTTTGGCCTCGCGTACGCAGATTCGGGGGGTTCGACTTTAGAAGGATGTTTCTTCTGTTTTGCTTCTGAGTGGCAACCTTGTACTCCCCGCCCACTGCGTCCTATCCTTTGTATTTGGCTATTTCCCGCGTTTCTAATATGTCTTTCCGCATACAGCTTGTCTGTCCCCGCTGCCTTTCTTGCCCGCTCGACCTTTCCTGCTAATTGGTCACTTTTGGCACATTCCTGAATAGTATGGCCTCATCCGTTGCATTGGATCCCCGTCATAGCGGCTTCTTTCCCCTGCGCTTTCCTCTTGCATGGTCAGCAGTGTAGTGCCCCTGCTGTGCGTCTCAGGCGGTGTCAGTATTCGCACAACAAGTGGTGGAACAGGCGTTGTCCAGTGTATGTGTCTGACCACTCGTTCATTCGTTATGTCCAGCTTATCTGCCCCAAAGTCCATTTGCCTAAACACGTAAAGGGCAGCCAGGATGGAGCTCTGGATGGCCTCCATGATGGAGAGCGGTCTCAGGAAGGGTCGTTCAAATTTACCTCCACCTGCGAGAGGGGGTGGGAGTGCCCCTTTGCACACTCAAGGGAAGAAGCCCTTTATCATCCACTTTTTTACAAGGTACCGACTGGACTTAATCACCAACTCAACCTCCAGTGACCCTAAGGGAAAAATAGAATGGGCTGATCCATGTGTTTGCTTGCCTGTCGTCCGCGCTGCCCCTTGCAGACAGTGCAGTGCCAACGCTTCTTGCGGGGCTCCTGCTCGATGTACTACTGCCCCTTCATACACGGGCCTTCGGAGAGGAGACATCCAAAAACATACCGGCTCCCATTCACCGCAGGCATACCGAGTCCGCCCGATCGCTGCTGCTTGCCACTATGATACTACCATAGCCGCCTGCCTTATGCGGGTGGAGCCTCGAGGCTTTTGCTAGTGGGACTGGTACTGCTTGAAGTCGTCCGCGTGCTCGTGCTGCAGTGGTCAGCCGGATGCTGCAGTTCCTTTTAGCCGGATTTAGACTCTTTCCGCTATTGTGCTTGCGTCGTTATGCTTGTTCTGCTACAGTCCCCAAGCTGCCAAACGTTCTAGTGGTTCCTCACATTGCAAAGAGCGGCAAAGTGAGCAGCATTAGAGAGGCAAATGTAACTCAAGCATGGGCAGTTCAACTTGTACGCTGCATCCCTCAATGAGCAGTGCTGTGTGGCTGCTTACCCCTGTAGCAAGACCTGTCGAGGCTATGGATTTATACTACGTGCGGTTTGATGCGCTCTGTGCATAGGTCCCTTTTCAGCAAGGAGGGCGCTGCGAGGACTCTGGGGGCACCACTAGCGGGGCTGGTAGTATATCTGGCAAAGACAACAAGCAAAGGAGCAGCAAGAAAACCGCCCCTAAATCTGCCTCTCCCAGCAGCCTTGTTGGTCAGGATGGAGCCTCCGAGCCGCAGTCCAACCCTGTGGGAGCTCCCGAGGGGAAAAAGGAGAAGAAAAAGGGACAGTGCCCTCGAAATCTCAAGCAGAGAAAGTAATGCGGACATGCTCCCTCTTTACATCGTAGTAGTGACATTGCACACAGTAGTATCCCCCAGCCTATACCGTGCTTGCTTGGTGATCCACGTATCTGCGGTATGTTTCTTCCTTGTTGGTCCTTTTGCCTAACCACCACGGTCATTCTTGCAGATCCGGGAGTCAGAAAGCGGGCACACCGACAGGTTTGACAGCCCCGAATACCCCATGGAGATCCCGCAGCTGCTCGCCGCCGCTGCTAGAAGCTGCAGCAACAGAGCTGCAGCAGCACCATGGGAGGCGCAATTGT